AATTACTTGCCCCCATACGAGGCATAACAAAACAATTTGAAAGTCAGGAGGGGGGAGGTGGATAGGGGGAGGGGCAAACCGCACACACACAGGACAAAGTATCCCCGGAGGAGATGGAGATGGAATCAAGCCGAAACAGGAAACATCAACATGACAGAGAGGAGACCAGGACAAACATTTAACAATTTTGCAGGAACAATATTCAATTTCCGACTGTCTAATAAGTTTTTGGCCAGCACACTCACACGTAGAGGAGTTGGCCCATGTAATAAGCCAACTCTAGGCGTCTGGGCTGTCTATCCATTCATCGCCCCAGTCGGAGACCCATCGTATCCCCATTCCCGCTCCGAATCCCGAACCAACCCGACAAAACTTCCATTACTCAAACCAGGGCAGCGACGCAACATTTTCCTTTAATTTCCTTTTTAGTTTTTTTCGACGCCAAACTAACTTGCCATGCCCTGCCACAGCGAACTCCTGCCCATCCGGCCTTCCGTCCGTATCGCAGTCCCGGAATATTGTCAGCTTAAAGCCGGCCATTCGTGCATACACACACCCACTTACCACGTGCAGATCCCTCAACTTTAATGAGTACCCGCGGGCCAATGCAAACACAACAGTAACGGCTAACGGGCCATATAAAATGCATTTCGAGTAACAAACTTTAAACACTGCGAACGCGTTCATTTGGGACCGCCATGGACGTGGATGCTCCCCAAAGGGGTGGTCCCAGGATCTGGGGACTTGGGCGACTCCTAGCGCGACAGTTGTGGGTGAATAGTTGAGGGCTGTCTGCACAACAGTCAATTACGGCATGTAAAAATACATGTTTATGCGCCATGATTTCCTGTCTTTGGGTAGCGACTAAAAGGGAATGATTGGAATCGTTTTCGTCAAAACAATGTTGCGGTACAAAAGAGGAGTTCTGAATAGGTTAACATTTGGAATTGAATATATTTTAAATAATACCAATAATAATAATTAATTAGTCGTTTGGCAAAGTATGTGTGTTTGACTATCTGTTCGTAGGAAGTTAGAACACTTCGTACAGATTGAAGCCCACAAATTGATATTCTCTGTGGCGCCCACGATTTTACACCCCCTTTTATGAACCGAAATGCTTTACCAATTATTAATGTGTTAAGCAGCTCGAGATATAACACCAGACAGCTTTGCAAAAGTAGCCCACAAGCCGCAATAGAAAATGCCTATTTAGGCAAGGTTCTTAAATATTTTGATGACCCGGGCTGAAAACGACTGCGCACATTTCATACTTGTTCATACTTATTAAGTCTAACATTACAACTTTGTTATGTAACATGTGGTTCTAATAAAAGGTTAATACATACTTTTCATTAATGGATTTTATTTGTCAACTCGTTTTAATTCCAAATTTTAAAAAGGAATATATTTTTATTATTTTAAAAGCACTTACAACCGGCATAATTTTAAACAAAAATAACTCATTCCTTAAATACGGATAAAATTATAAAATTTATAAAATTGTATAGAAATAGAGTAAATAGATGTTGAGCAGAAACTTAATTCGAACCGCATAAACGTATAACATTTTCGCTAGGCCTGCCCCAAAGTAAATACAGCATGTTGCCGGGCCGCTGTCGAAGTCGGCTCTATAAGGCCGACCTCCCCCGCCTTTCAGGATCCAAAGCCATGCAAATAGGAGCCAAATGAGTATTGGAAAGAGGCAGACATGGGGGATATGGCCCAGAAGGAGCTCGAACTGGGGTGGGCTGCGGGGTCCTGCTGCGGTTTACACTGCCGCCATGGAAATGACAGACGATGTAAAAGAGTTCATTAATATTGCAAGGTATGCTCACGACGACGATGGGACAGGTCAGGGGGTTAAGGCAAAGGAAAGAATGAAAGGAAGGACAACAGCAACAGCAAACGAGGACATCGTTTTGACTGCGCGCACAATTATTTTGTAATTTGTCATATTTTGTAGGCCTCGGCTCAAGTCAGACAACGTTGCACTTTGCACGGGTTGGTGGTGGGAGAAATGGGTGGCAGGAAGATGGGGCAGGTCATCACTGCTTTGTCCAAATTTTCAAGTAGCAGAGCCTCGGACTCAAGTGGCTTGACGGCCTACTAAATAGGGAATGTGGGGGCAGATGATGCACTTGAAAAAATGTATGACCTAAAGCTACATTACATTATTAAAAATAAAAATAATTTTGTGCTGTAAAACAATCTAAGAAATCAATTTAATAAATGATAGTATTCAAGATTTGTCGTTAAAAAGTGCGATAAGGAGTGCAATGACACCTATTTTGTTTCATCCATATAGAAGTGATTTCTCTAAGTGTACCTATGAATATTACAATTCTCCAAATGTGCAATAAATTGATAATTTTGTTTATATTGAAGACGTTACAATCTAGGGCATTCGAAGCATTAAAAATTCACTACATTTCCATTATAAAATGTTGTATTTTATACAAACATAATACATTGAGCTTATTGTAAATAAGTTATTTTCTCTGTACCAAGAAGTGGGTGGGTAGCAAGAGAAGATCGCCTACAAACTGCATAATTGTCTGTATTTTACGCTTTACATGATAGCTAAGCAAATCTTTTGTTACACTGCCTAACAGAGAAAACTCGCTCATTCTCAAATTTTCTCTCTCTTAGCCTTTTTGTTAGCCTTATGCTTTGTGTGCACTTTCTAAACATGGCGGCGCCAAACAGCGGCTACCTCAACCTACTTTTGGTTCCTTCGCCCGCTACACAGAAAAAAAGATATTGTTTTGGACACATATTTGAGTTAGTTTTAAAGTAGTAGACAATACCAGACAATGACAAAAAAGTTGTATTCCTTTCGGCCATAAATATATTACTACCTAATCATTTTGTTAAAAGGATAAGTTTGTTAGATAACTTTCAGATCACTAGTTTAGCGAGACAAACAAGTACCCTTTGTCCATGATACCATGATATTAACATGACAAATAAAATGAAATCTATAAAAAAAGTATCTTTGAAAGTAACAATATTTTTGTGTGTAGCTGGGATGCCGTTGTTCAGACTTTAATAGTTAGACCCTCTTATACCAGCCCCGCTAGTTACGCCCCTTTTGGTAAGTCAACAGAGAAAGAGGCGCAGTCAGTCAGCCAGTTTTCTTGCCCCTGTTGTGTTCTCCATGTTTACCTAGCCCCGACCCCTCGGCCACATCGTAGAGCCACCCTCCATGGAACCGTTTCGCCTCATCATGTGCCGCCCCCCATAATTATACCCTACAAATGAGTGGGCCATAAAGTGTTTCGTGTTAGAGAGAGCAAACATAATAAAAACATGGTATAATATTTAGTACATGTTGCCACCTTTGTTGTGAACCTGATTCTAAAGCCAGTCTGCTGTAGTATAAGGATTTAGATCTGTAAAGTATTGTAAGTAATATCATGTTTCTTTAATGTTAATTGGAATTTTTTAAAAACAGTTCAGTAAAATAAACACCTATTTGTTAAAATAATATTTATGTTCATATTTCACAAAGTTTCACAATTTAAAAAGCGTAAAAAAAATGCTAAAATTTGTAGCATTAACTAGATCCTTAGATCTACTTAGTATACTGCTTATCTACGTATGTATACCATCCCATAAATAAGCATCCCTTTTCCACTCTCGAAGACTTCTTCACTACATCATTTGCTTGCCAGAGTATCACCCACTTTTACACTTTCACATCAAGGCTTGTTTTTTCGGCTCTCATAATTTTGATATGCAGTATTTTCAGTCCACTGCTTTTAGTTCCCTGCTCGCCCATTTCTTCGGGTTGCGCCTGCTTCTTCTATCATTTCGTGCAGTTTTGTTTGTGTTTGCAGTTGTTTTTGTTGAATTACATGCACACACACAGAGGGACAAATATTTATTTAAAACTTATGCCCGAGGCCTTTCATTACTGTGCACGGTAAAAATATATATTTCACTCTTCTATTCTGTCCCCCTTTTTCCCGCCGTCCCTTGGTTTCTCTTTTCAGCATTTTGTGTCGGCCGGTTCTTAGTTCTTGTTACTTTTTTGCGCTGTGCAAATGTGCGGAATGTTGCTTTGTGCCCCCCATTCGCTTTCTCTCCCGCCCCCTTTCTTCTGTTTTCCGGATTTTTGGTCCATGGCTACTAAGTGAAATTTTTCAGTCCACGGGGCGGTTGCTTTCATAGTCTTCGCCTAGTTAATGTACTTGTAGCCGGCTCCTGTTCCAGATCCTTTCAGATCCGCCACCTCGCCACAGACCGCACCACATCAGCACCCCCAATTATGACGTCTAGCGGAGTTTTAATTAGTCTTCGTACTACTCCCCACTCAAGACCCCCGATCCTGCAGCTCCTCGCCCCTTTGTATTGTCTGTGTCCTTGTGTCTGGGCCATTGTCTTGCCTCGAAACGAACAAAATGCATTATGACATCGCAACAAAATAGCCAAAGTTGTTGAAATTTTTATGCGATTTACTCGGTGAATTATTTTAAAGTAGAGTGCGCTTAAGGACCTCTCTGCTCCCATGGCAACATAAGGAATGGGGGAAAATTAAATACAAGTGGTTTCGTAGTTACAGATGATAATTACTTTACCAGTTAAGATATAGTACCTCATAATTAAATAATTATCTTATTTCTTGGCTTTGATGGTAATTTATTAATTGGTTTTTTTTTGAAACCCCATAAAGAACTAAAAATGACTTTATCACACTGAAATTAAATAGAAAATATAAAATAAATTTCTATAATAATAGTTTTTCGTAAACATTTTAAAGGTTACATATAAAGTAATTTCACAAACTGTTGAATGCTCCCAGATTTTATGAAGTGTCCAAAACTATTATAATCAGTACACATACAAAATGCCATAATAAATATTTTCGCTCATTGAAATAAAACATCAATCAAACACCCATTAACATGAGAACACCACATAACTACTCATATTTCCCAATAAAGCATTATAAATATATAATTTCTGAACAGTTGTTCAGCACAGTGAAAACTCACCCGTCAATTTAGAAGCGCAGAGTTTACTTTAAACTTCGCTTTGGGAAAATTTGGTTAATTAGTTTGAATGTTTTCCTGCTTGTTTGTTTGTTGCTGCGCGGTAATGTTTTTGGGCGCCAAAAGGTACAGTCACCAACACAGAGGCAAAACACGCATAGAGCGACTGTTATTAGCTGTCGAAACTGTTATTTCCCCGTCTCTCTGTCTCACTCACTCTCCCTATCTCTCTCTTGCTGCGGTCTTTTTCCCTCTTTCGGGATTTCGAATGAAGTTAGCGGCGTTTTGGATGGTGCACTTGATCCGCTGTTATCGGTCGAAAATCGGGGGAGAACGGGAAGAGTTTTGGTAATTTTTCGGTAATTTCTGGTTTATCTCCTCTCGTCGAATTCGGTCGGCTGATTGATGGATGCCAGAAGCGCACACACTGCACAAGAAACACACAACTTGACTGAGCGAAATTGCACAAATAACTGAATTGAAATATCCCCCCGCCTCTCTCACACACACAGACACCCCCGCAGGAAAGGGAGGGAGAGCGAGAGAGAACAAGTGCGAGGGAGCGAGAAAGCATGCCTGCTTCGCTTATTTTCGTTACAAAATTTCTTACAAATTTGCTAAAACCCAAAAAATGAGTAGAGAAGCGCGGTGCACTCGAGTGCATTTTAATTGATTTTTTCTTCATTTTTCCCCCGGCTTTCACTCACAGCAGGATGGCCTGAGTGCTCGCATCTCGCTCGGTCCCACGCGGCGTATGCGTAACATTACAGTTGCATTTCGGGGACTCGAGTGAGTTTCCTTCCGAACTGAGTGAGTTGCCAGTGGGCGATCTCCTGTGGGTCAGGCTCCAGTTTCTTTCCTCCATAATTTTAAGTTTTAATTAGCTTTTTGTTGCTGCTGTAATTTCGACAGCAAACAAAAGTTGCTGCTGCATCAAATTTTAAATTAATTACACGTAGGAATGCTGAAAAATTGATGGCCCCGACGAGGTTCCATTCGTTTTGGACAAACAATTAGCATTTCACTGTCCCAAATATAACGCAAGAGTATGAGGCCAAGTGAAAGAAAAGTTTGCGGAAGTTTTGTGAGGGATAGCTTTCGTTTTTTCAAGAAGGCAGTAGGGCGAGGAGTTAGGCTCGGCGTAGACAAAGTTTTTAATATGAAAATTGCTCGTTTGGGGTCGAGGAAATTAAGTGGATGGATTGGCGGCTGGGGAAATGGACCCTTTTCGATTGATTCAAGTCTAGGACGTACTTAACTTTGATGGAGTCTTTTGATAATGACTTAATTATGTGCGCTCAAAAATTGTACCTTTTCCTTGGTAGTTTGTTCTTCCTTAGGTGATTTGAGGCGATGTATTTGATTCGGTAAGAATGTATTTTCACAGAGGGAGTTCGTTCATATATTTGTGTACAACAGAGTGGTCCATAAAATAGAGTCTTGTTCTAACCCTTAGGTATTTCTAGATTTAGATGTTGAAAAATTGTATTCTAAACTAAAAACTTATATTTTGAGATTCTTTGATCATTGCCCAGCGACCAAATCTCACTCACACGACAGGAATGCCAGTTAGAATTCTGAGAGAAATAAAATAGAGCACGCTTTAGTCGAGTGCCTTGATCATCATATACCAGTTACTCAGCTAACCAATTAACCATAGATATTGACAAATTAATGCAAAATTTACAAAGAAATATAACCTTCAAAAACGTGAGCACATTACATTCTTGTGATTTAAGGGCGTTAGGTGGACGTGAAACTCGGCTAAGCCACACGCACTAGTAAAATACATTCGAATTTTAACGCTTTAGCCTTAACAAGAAAGAACGGTACAGTCGAAGGCTAGAGGGAGCGCGAGAGAGATGGAGATATGCATGCAGAAAATCGGCTGTTTTCGAGAATTCACACCACGCCAAGTGGCTTCACCTATCGCCGAAAACTTTCACTGCTATTAATGAATGGTCAGACTTTAATAATTAGGGTATTGATAAACAAAACGAAATACCATTTATACTTTTACAAAACCTTTAAAGGCGTAGCACTTAGCTTAAACAAGCATGCTCTTCGTAGGAGCCCCTAGAATCTGTACCCCATCATTCAAGCTTTAGTAATTTCAGTAAGTAGTAGTAATACAGACATAAGGACAGGCATGGCCAGACCGACTCGGCTATTGATCCTGCTTAAGCAGATAACAAAGGGGAGTAAAATCGAGAACATGTTTGATAACTATAATAATCCTATACCAATATATAAATTTTGGCCAAGGAGCGATTCTTCAATAAAACATACATAAATTTATCTAGAGGGGTAGAGCTGTTATATTTGGTGTATTGATAATTTTTCACATTAAATTGCTGCTAACGAAGACAAAAATACTATTTGGGATAATTTCGAACCCATCTTCGTGATTACATATATTAAGCATCAAAAGGAACAGCCCATAGGGAGCATAATTGAAAACATGCGAGTTGATTCTGTTTGAAAAAAAATTCGATTATTTTGTTGCTTTGTATAAGAATTTCTTAATTAATATTCAAAAAACAAAAACAACAAATGTGGTTCAATTGCATTGGAAATACATTTTTAAGTGGGATTACAGTCAAAAGTTGCAAACTTGTACTCAATTTGGCTCCCTACCGAATACTTTATACGGCTGGAAAAAATATTTTGTAATTTAATAAAATTTTGGTCAAATGAATCATATACATATTTATAAACTGTGGTGCTTGAGAGCTATCAATATGGAACCCAGCAAAACGAATAAGTCAAAATTCTTCTCTATGGAACAGAAATTTTTTTTTAAGATCTCATTTAATTCGTAAACTTTACAATGGGATTAAATCAACTTTCGTTATCGTTAAAGTAGCTTTTCATAAACTTTCAATTGTTTCTTTGAAAACAAAATTTCCATGTAGAATGTAATATGATTTATATGTTTAATGGGCCACTTAAAAGTAGTAAGATTTACATAGATAGCGTTCCAAACAGATGAAGCCGAATTTATCTGAAAATTCACTCGGAATCAGAAAACTCAGCCTGGCCCGAAACAGGGTGTTCCGAAATCCGTGAACATCAAGGCTTGAGCATGCGCAATCGGCATTTAGTCCGAAGAAACTCACTCAAGTGGAGAGCAACAAGAATGCAACACCTACGCGACTCAAAAGCACACCTGGAAAACCCAAAGTAATGTGGCAAACAGAGAGGGACAGCCCGATAAGGGGGTAAGAGGGAGAGAGAGTGAGTGAGCGGGCGGAAAGCGAACGTCAGCTGCATGAGAATCCAAAGGCGGGACGATTCCAATTGTGACATTTGCCATTGTTGGCCAGTGTAATGACACACAGCTACACGAATGAGTATGAATTCAGCGCGGGAAGGCTTTAAATATTTATGAATGAAATGTTGTATACTTTTCGGGCACAATCGCCGGAACTAGTACAGAGAAAAGAATTCTATGCAATCGTCCATCAATTGAAGATTTCAGGTTTTAAGCTTCAAACTCTAGGTTTTTATAATAAAGAAAGAAATGGGTGTCAATTAAAAAAAATTAATCAATAATTTATGATGGCTTTAAAGGTACAAATTATATAATCCCAAAAGCAAGGAATGTTGCAATGGTCAAAAGTCAAGGGTAAAGCGTATAGGCAACCTATACATTTTTTTCAATAACTATACATTTTTTTGCCTTTTACTCGTCCATTATCTAGTATTAAAATGTAATTAGCATTACGAATCATTGTATAGATCTTGTAAAATAAAATTGTATATATTTTTTTAGTCATTAAAACGAGTCAGACCCCATTTGTCGTTCCACTAGATCAGCTCGCGGTTGGATATAACAGCGACTTAAAGATTTGTTGTAAAACCCGATTTATAAGGGCAGAATCTCTTAGGGCAATCCGAATTTCAGGTACAGATCATCTATGGTATTTTACCCAAAAACACAGAGAAATGCATAATATAAATAATTTGTTTCAGAACAGTGAATATGAAACAGTAGACTCAGAAACGCAATGGAAATATAGAAGTAGATATTAAAATACAATAAATACAATATGGTATATCTACGAAATTTCCAAGCTTGTTTCCCGATAGGAGCATTTAAAATAAACGTAAAAACGTTGTCTTGTATTTTTTATCTTTATGTCTGTGCCATTAATATTCTTAAAGAAATGAACAGAAAATTGCAATTGGCCCTTTAGATATAGCCAATTATTACTTGAAATCTTTACACTGCTATAATATCCAGTCGCGAGCTTTCCTTAAGGAACGCCAAGTGAGGTCTGACTCGTTTCGATCAGTAATTTCATTTCATTTCAAAACCAACCTGCGGTTACACTCAAAAACCCTAATATTGTTGCACAGCGTTATTTATGAAAACGAATTTTAAGAAATAGGAACTGAAAAGATGCTGTCTTAGCGACAAGTCCTTAATGAATGTATTATATTTATTCGTAAATCCTTGCCTTCCTCTGTATGTGCGTTATGCTTCCGAGAATTGACCACTGGAACTTATCAATGGGAGAGCTTTAGATAATAGTGCAAAAATATGGAATACTACAACCACCATCGATGCATGACCAAGGCTAAGGTTTGTCTCCGAAACGTCCCTCACAATGAACTCCCGGGCAATGGCCAAGCTAATCGCAGTGGAAAACCCGAAAACCAATACGGCTCTAATTGTATCAGAATTATCATGGTTGACCTCATCCGAAGGGCGTTGATGAGCGTTGACCACGGTCCAGGACGGCAATGAACCTCAAAGAGTGGAAACCACCGAACGCACATGACGAAGCGGACCATCAACCAATTTTAAGGTTAATGACTGTGTTTACGGAAAATAAATGTGAGTGCCGAAAAAAAATGGGTAAGTAATTTAAATTGATAGCAAAACGACATGAGTAATCGAGGAGCTGCCCAAAAGGGCCCACAAAGTTTTGTTTTGATTTGTTCCATTTTAGTTAAGTTTGAAATGCGTTTATATGGGGATTTCAAAATATTGCGTATACGCCGCTTGGGTCATGCACGAACGAGCAAACCGAGCAGCCGCTGATGGGCGGCCGATTAAGCTCCATTAAAAAAGCGTTTTATGCTTTAAAAATTGCAAACATTCGGCTACAAGCTCTATAAAAACAGTTAATGCCGGACTTTTTCCATTCAGTCAACGTTCGAGGATTACACGCCACAAACACGGCCAGCACAGTCATGTCAGCGAAACAAACGAGCAGTTGCCTCTGGTTGGGATTGGTCCTGGTCGCGATGCTTCTGCAGCCTTCCAAGTGCCAGTACTACGGATATCCCTACGGGTACGGAGGTGCCAGTGCAGCAGCGGGATCGGGCTATGGAAACATCTACGGCAGCGGCATGTACGGATACCCCTACAGCTACGGCGGATATCCGTACTACTCGTACCCCGGCTACAACCCCTACTCCATGTTCGGCGGAGGAGGTGGCTATGGACAGTACGGGTACCCCTATGGAGGATATCCCTACGGCGGCAGCGGCACGAGTGAGTAATCCGACTGCGCGTTCCCTGTTCTTTGCACCCAAGTAATCTTCAAGTGTTTTGGACCTGTTTTCTTCTCTAGACGTGGCCTACGCCAGCAGCAGTGGAGGATTCGCCACAGCCAGTGCGGGCGGAAGCGGGTACTACGGCTGAGAGATCAGTGATATTCGCGTCCTAAGCTAGTTTTACTGTACATACTGGTTAAGTCTTCCTACTATTTAGTGTGTTAATCTGAATAAATAAAATAGTTATTTAATTCGTAATTAAAGACAAAAGTATTTAATCTAAAGGGTGTTCTTGCCTTGTTACCTTGAGAAAACTCAGGCTGAGATAGAAACAATTATTAAATAAAAAACTATCCTTAAATGTATTTATGCTACGCCTATTTGATGAAATCATTTCATGAAATGACGCACGAAAGATGACAAAGAATTCAGTATCAATCCATGAAATGCTGAGGCACAGCCTGTTTTATTCTACAGAGCTCTTTACAAATATCAAATAATCTGAGAGTTCAGCTGATCATTTCATAAAATTGTCTATTTTTATTTCATCTGTAGGAGAATGCATAAGTTCATAGCATAAACATAGTATTCTCATGAGAAAACCTGGTTTATTGGCTATAACCTTGCAGGATACAATGAAAAAGTTAATAGAACGTAGGGAAAGTGACGAACGTTTCGTTTTTTGAATGTCACTTTTCCAAAAATAAATATATTTCAAAGGTTTAAATGCAGAAAGTTGCTAACATATATTAAGCTTAATCCCGTTGGTAAAATTCCAGCAGACTTAACTACTACCGCTCATGGCGTAAACCAATATTTTTTAAGCTTTTAAAAGTTGAAGAGTAAGTAACTGACAAATACAATACATTAAAAGTCTATGCAGATGTAAAAATTATATATTTTTCTTCAAGAAAAGTCAAAATTGCACAATAATGAAATACAAATTTAACTTTAAACTTTAAAAAAATGTCTTCTGCAGTTCTGAGTTTAAATTAAACAAAATAAGGTTTTTAATTTCTACTTTCTAAAAAATAGTTGTTTTAGTTATCAGCTGTTGAAAAGAAACAAATATCGAAATAACAAATAATCACACCCTACAAGGTACTGTTGGAAACAATAGAATAAAACACAAATTACCAAGAACTGTTGCTAAAGATCTTGTTAATACGTCTATATATTTAGCCGACTTGGTTTTGATCTGGCCGTGCTCAAACCTTTACAACTAAATTAAAAAGGTTTCCTAATTTATGCTCCACCGTTTTATTTAAAATTATGTGACGAACAAATTAAGGGAATTCCTGGTTATATTATTGTAAATACATTGTCGGCACGATAAGAGAAATTGGTTTTAAATGTTAAAAACTTGACCTTCTACGACTTATTCAATTTAACATATACCCCCACTTAGATTTAAAACAACGTAGACCAAAGGAAAAGTGCAGCTTGGCCACATTTTATTTGCGACCGAATTCGAATCGAGCGCAATGTTGGCGCCCACTCGATGTCTTGGGTTAGTGTTGAAAAGTGCGCGGCACAAGAGGCCACGAATATATCGGTCTGTCGATAAGTCCCGGCCGTTAGCCAATTCGACTATTTCGAATCCTGTTCGCTGTATCCTGGTTCTCCAGTTGTTGCTGTTGTGTGGCCTCGTATGGCGTATGGCCTCGAGCCTTGTCCGACGATTGTCCGGAGGAGAGTGTCAAGGATAAGCATTCCACTGCCAGCTCAGGTCTTATTAAAATACAGCTGTCCAAGAGTTCAAAGAGCCGGACGGAAAAGAAATCCAAGCCGGATGAAGAAAAGACTGATTCTGAGGACGAAGAGGATGTTCTGTTAAGACGCGATCATGAACGAAGTCGGTAAGTCTCAGAAGAAAAGTAAGCTTGGTTAAAAATCCAAAATATGATTATTTATCATGTAACTGGAATAATGTTTTCTAGATCGAAGTTCCGTGAAGAAAATGTTTCTCTTAAGAAGCAATACCAAATGGATAAGCAGAGAAAAGATAAACTAGTTTCGAGTGGACTAGAGAAAGAAGCAAAATCATCTAAGATCAAAGGTCCAGCGAAAATTTTTTTAAGTCCAAGGAGAAGTACACTGCTAAAAAGCAGGTAGACTTTACTTTAATTTTCCAATTTTGAATTCTCTCGCGAAGTAGAGGCGGGCGACTTGTCGATACTCAAGATACTTTGTTCCGATACTTTATACGATAGCGGTATCCCATCTCCAACCGGCCGTTAGCCAATTGGACTATTTCGACCAAAAAATAGTCTCGCAAAACACAAAAGAAAAGCACAGACGTCGCGCTCCGCCAAATTCCGCCGCCGTCGCCTGAAAACTAACACAAAGTAATCCCAAAATCAGTGAAAAAATCGGCGAATAATAGAATTTAAAGGTGGAAAATGGGATAAATAGCCTGTTTAAAGGGGAAGGCCAAAAGGCGGCATAAAAACATTGCATTGCGTAATTGGGGCCAACAAGAAAAACAACTAAAAACACAAAGCCAACTGACTGCATTCTAATGCGCCTGTGTGTGTGTGTGTGTATCTACAGCTGAGTTGCAAATTTATTTGTTATTTATTTGGCCTCAAAAGGCAACTTACTTACGTGCTTGCTGTGTGCTTTTTGCTTTTTGCGGATGAAAATCAATTTCTTTAATATTGCACAGTGGATTATACTTGACGAGTAGTGAATAGAAAGAGGAAGACAAAACAGCAAAAGTATGCTTACGTTAAAAAGTGCTTGCTCCACATTTCGCCACCTTTCTCCCTCACTCCTCTGGCGTCTCTTTCCCTCTCACGGGGCTGCTCACGCGCACCGTGGGGTGTTTTTTCACTTTTTGCGTACCGCTCCTGCCTTCGCACCCCTTACCCACTGTTTGAGCTTAATTTCATAAATCAAGGCAGCGTCAGTTAAAAAACAACAAGAACTACTTCTGCTCAAGTCCCCTTCAGACCCCCTTTTCTATCTTTCTCGTTTCGGCAATGGGAAATTTCCGTACCCACCGCACAGTGGGAATAGACAAATGAAATTACCCGATTGCAATCGGTGCTTTTATGGGCAGTTAATTCAGTTTCGAGCCCAAAGATGATGGATAAAAGCACAGACAAACTTTCATACCTCAAACTTAGTAAAACTGAATAAATATTTACCCAGATATCACACATCTAAAACTAGAGTTCTTCAAAGCACAACCTTAAACCGCTTCAGCCATACTAACATTTTAATAATTAAGACTATAAAACGAGCGTCGTACCTAAATCAATTTCAATTTTTTGGACTAACATAAACGTTTATTCTAAGACAACTTTTAAATTCTAAAAATATCAATTATACAGTTTATTTATTTAGTTACTTATCATTCAAAACAATGATCATTATAATAAGCATCAAATAATAATAATATAAGTGTACCACCTTTTACACGCACCTCTCCCACTGTGCGCATCGTAGACAGAACAGCTGATGCCCGTCAAATTTTATATAAAAGCGCTTTGAGTGCAAGTGTGAGTGAGCGAGGGAACTTGGATATCGATAAAAAAATAAACTAAAAAGAAACCAGTCGCATCAGTTCAATTGACAAACATTCCAGTTGATCTAGAACTTCTCGGCAGTACGTATATTTTTGCCTCGCAGTGTCGCCTTATCTGGGGGAGTGTCTGGGGCTTCACGTTTGGCTGCTTATCAAAATCACGCGACTCAGCGCGGACCCCCAATGAATTGCCAAGGTTGCTGATAAATGAATACTAATCAAAAGTTTGTTCGTTCCGCTGGCTTATCGCCCAGATAGCAAAATTCTAGGTGGCACGAGCCGACGACGACAAAGAACCCATAAAGACCGCTTATATAATTCGGCAGCGAAGCAGGCAGGCCCCCAAATCCCGACAAGATGTTGCGAGCGCTACGAAGTTCTTCCTCCAGATGCTCCAGTCTGCAGCAGAGCGTGTTGAAGAGGTAATTTACATCGATTATTTACAAAGACTTTGGAAGCACCTACTCTAGTACCTAGAAATCATTTTCAATCTAATAGGTATAAAGTCCACCTTATTCGTGTTATAAAGAATTATATAATTAATAGGGTATTATTTTTATAATTCAATGATTTTATTAGTTTCTCATTACTCAAAACTCAATCGATTATATTTTCCAGCTACGCTCGCAGTCTGGGCTCTGTTATACCAAACCTCAACCTGAAGGACTTCCCGATCGTAAATGAACCGATTCTGGCATACCGTAAGGACTCGAAGGAGCGCAAGGCCCTCGAGCAGGCTCTGAAGGGCACGTCCTCGAGCTGCGAGGATATTCCGATCGTGATCGGCGGCAAGGAGTACAAAACATCGGAGGTGCGCTACCAGGTCATGCCCCATGACCACCAACACAAGCTGGCCAGCTTCTACTACGCCGACAAGAAGCTCATTGAGAAGGCCATCAAAACAGCCGTGGAAACGCAGCCCAAGTGGGACCGTGTGTCGATCGCAGACCGTCTGAATATCTGGGAGAAGGCGGCTGATCTAATGGCGACGAAATACCGCCAGGAACTGAACGCCGCCACCATGCTGGGTCAGTCCAAAACGGCTATCCAAGCGGAAATCGATGCGGCAGCGGAGCTGATCGACTTTATACGGTGAGTGACCAACAATACATTACCACCTATAAGCGACAGTTGTACTATTTCGTGTGTGTTTTACATATATAATAAAGCTCTTATAATCAGTCCTTTTGATTCTGAAACAAAATCCATATTTTACATCGCAGAATGAATGCCTACTTTCTGAAAGAGGTCACTAAATATCAGCCCATCAGCGAGGACATCAAGGTCACTAAGAACTCTCTGCGTTATCGTGGCATTGACGGCTTCATCGCGGCTGTCAGCCCCTTCAACTTTACTGCCATCGGCGGCAACTTGTCCTACACGCCAGCTCTGATGGTAGGGCTAGTCTATCCTTGAAATTTCCAATAAAGTAACCATCACCTCCTCTTTCCCAGGGCAACGGTGTGCTGTGGAAGCCATCGGACACAGCCATGCTGTCTAACTGGCTTATTTTCAAAATTATGCGCGAAGCGGGAGTGCCCGATGGAGTCGTTAACTTCGTGCCAGCCGACGGGCCCGTGTTTGGGGACACCATAACCGCCAGTCCACACCTGGCCGGCATCAATTTCACCGGCTCAGTGCCGTAAGTAATTGTCGGTCTATTGATTTTCCTATTGTAACCCAACCCTTCCGGCGACAGAACCTTCAATCGCCTGTGGAAGCAGGTGGGCAACAACATTGACAAGTACGTGAACTTTCCCCGCTTGACTGGTGAGTGTGGCGGCAAGAATTTCCACTTTGTGCATGCCTCAGCCGACGTTGAGTCGGTGGTGACATCCACGATACGCTCGGCATTTGAGTACTGCGGTCAGAAGTGTTCCGCCTGCTCCCGCATGTATGTGCCGGAGTCCCTGTGGCCAAAGGTAAGCTCAAGGGCATCATATTACGATGTTTTCACCATGCTGATCTGTTAAACCCCTCACCTGCAGATCAAGGAAGGCCTACTGTGCGAGGCGTCGAAACTGAAGATCGGCGACGTTCAAGACTTTAGCAGCTTCACGTCGGCTGTGATTGATGACAAAGCATTTAAACGCATTACGGGCTATATTGAGCATGCCAAGAAGTCCTCCAACCTCGAAATTCTCGCTGGCGGCACGTACTCGGACAGCAAGGGGTACTTCGTCAATCCGACCATTGTTCTCAGCAAGGATCCCAAGGACCGCATAATGACCGAGGAGATTTTCGGCCCCGTACTGTCGATTTATGTGTACAAGGAGTCGGACCTCCTTGAAACCATGAAGCTCGTGCACACCTCAACCAAATTTGCTTTAACCGGAGCAGTATTCGGCCAGGACGAGTAAGCCGAGTCCCCAAATGAAATAACCTTTATTTTATAACATTTTCTTTCAGGGAATTCATCAAGTGCGCTCTGCAGGAGTTCAAAATGGCCGCCGGAAACTTCTACATCAACGACAAGTCCACTGGATCCGTGGTGGGCCAGCAGCCATTCGGCGGTGGTCGAATGTCCGGCACCAATGACAAGGCCGGAGGACCACATTATATTCTGCGCTGGACGTCTCCGCAATCCATCAAGGAGACTTTTGTGCCTCTGCGTGATGTCAACTATCCATATATGTGCGAATAAGCTGAATGAAGTAGGATGTGAATGGGGAGTGGGATGAGAATTAGTAGAAGCAGAAAAAACCGACAGGAATCTCATATAACTACTAACTATATAAATATATATAAATGTATTTTGTTGAAATATTTTTAAACACCACCCCATGCCCTACCCCGTAACACCTATCTACTTCAGTTAGCTACAATTCGTATACACACACACTCTAAGAATCTCAGAACTACCATGAGTATGCCTCAGAAAAGATTGTAAATTGATATGCTGATACCTTTCGAACCACAAACACACCGTGACATGGATATTTTAAATTAATACTATGTAAAATCATTAATTTAACGTACGATTATACGCAATGTGATTATTTAATTATATGATTTATAATTACATGGCCCGTCTTTTGTTTTTATCTATACCGATATTACTCGTGTTCCGTAACACCCTTTCCAGTTATAAACTATATATGCGCGTCTATGTACACACCTAAGTATGTGAAAGCAAACACTTGACAATACATTTTGATTACTAAATGTGGAAGATCATGAAGAGATAAATTGAAACCTAGTTACATATAACGTAAGCATCAAATTCATATAAATAAATAAATAAATTTCAATGCTAATGGATGTATTTCTAACGCCCATAACATACCTTTACTTTACCGATTTATTATATTATTTGACAAAAAATTATATCCAGCTCCATTGCATTTTAATTATTTTCCCTGAGAGCATTGACTATTTTTAAAATATGACAACTATAATTTTTATTTTAAAAATCACTAGTAATAATTTTCTACTTTTATCAAAAAAATCATAACTAAGAATTATTTTTTATTGCGGTTTCACAGTGATGTCCCTGGATGATGAAGATATGCGCTGCATTCTCAACTATATTTTAGATTAAACCTTGATTTTTACTGCCTTTTGTTATTCAAGTCGAACACATTTACAAACCATAAACTTTTTCAAACTGAACCCTTTTTATACCATGCTTACTTGAAATTCAAAAGTTAACAATTTTAATTTGGATAGTTTTGGCAAAGTGCACGTAAATGGCTAAATATATTTTATTAAATTAATATTCTGAAATATTAAAAAAGCTAAGCCCCAAGTAGCAGAAACTATGATCGAAGGCAGCGAAGCTTTAATTACTTTTTCGTATATTCCTATAGGAGCCATAAAATATATTAATGCGATCTATCGCGTTCGAACATTCAATAAAAATAAAACTGGGAAAAGTTTCATCGCATTAGCTTTAAAATTGATGGACTAGTTTGCGTGGAAACGGACAGACGGCCATGGCTAGATCGGATCGACTCGTCTCGTCATGCTGATCATGAATATTTTTACTTTATGGAATCGGATTCGATGCAAACTTCCGACAGAAATTATAATACCCTAAAAAGATTGCCGGTATATACATTTATTATGTTATGGCTTCACTGCCTCACTGTGATTTTTCCGTTATCAATAACTTTTATTTGTGGTCCCTGTTATTCAGAGATACTTTCAGAATCCCCTTTAAACTGAGCGAGGGTATATATCCAAACATTGCAACCTCCCCCTTTCCTTTACTCTGATAGTATTTTCTTGTCCCCTGAAGTATTATTTTTTGCAGGCGAAAATATCGAAAGTTACTTCGAAAGATACTTGAATTACTCTTGATTTTTATTCTGGAATAAAAACTACAATAGATTTAGTTTTTAAAAAATACTTGTATTTTTCTTTCCATTTTACTTAAGTTGAACTAATTTTATTGTTTGTCCACTTGGACAAATTAGTGATCTAAACTTTGACATATTGAAGTTCTGACTGGATCTTACATTGTTACGATTTGGAACCAAAAACTGGTTATCACCACAAATTAACGGAAAATGTATTGAACACTAATCGAATTAGGCAGTCGTTCTGTTTGGTCAAGCGACTGACAAATCCGATGGGTGTTGTCTTTGATTTTTAATAAACCTTTTCAAATAAAGAATTACAATATTGGTTACATAAAGGCAATACAAATAATGTATAAGGATTTACGTCTAAAAAGGTTTATAAGAAGTCTTCCGTCTACATCCAGAGCTATCAGAGAAAGAAGTTTTTGTCCGCTAAAGTCGTAATAACCATTACTAAAATGCAGTGAATATGTGACTAAAAAGTTGTCTTGGTCACGGTTTTACTGTCCGTCAGTTCGTATGAATCAGTTCACATTTCGGGGCGGCGCACAAATCTATTCCAAACAAGTTGGAGAAGATTTACGTAGCACCCCGGATGTGCGTACTACCGCGAGTCAAATTAAAAGTTTGGAAAGATTTTACAAGTTGGCGAAATTATTGCATAAAGGAACTATTCTACATAGTTACTCCTGTTGCTTACTGACTAAACGTATCCGTTAGAATATTGATTATTTCATAGTGTATGTATAAATCTAGTCAAATTTTATTGAATTGACTCCTATGTCAATTTGGCCGCCTCGATAGCTGCCGCGCTTCTTCTTGGTCTTCTCGTGTTTGAAGGACTTACCGCGCGTGTGCTTCAGGTCTTTGTTGGCCCTCTCACCCCAAGATCCGGCCGCGTTTTTCTATCGTGGTTTACAAATAATATAAACAGGTTAATTCGATAACATAACTGCATCTAGTGTGTGTGTGTGTTTGCGGGTGGGTGGCGTTAACTAAGCTATCTCTAATTATCGAAGGTGATCTTCTTGTTGGGCTTGGGCGCCGACGAGTCGAAGGATTTGTTGCCGAATCCACCGCCACGTCCGCCTCCACGACCACCGCCGCCGCGTCCGCCGAAACCGCCACCTCCACGGCCGCCTCCACCGCGTCCTCCGAAGCCACCGCCTCCTCCACGGCCGCCACCTCCACGTCCGCCGAAGCCACCACCGCCTCCGCGGCCGCCACCTCCACGTCCGCCACCGCCTCGACCTCCTCGCTGGTTGTTGTCAAAGCCTCCGAAGCTCTTGCGATCGCCAATCTTCTTGAAGCCGCCTCCTTCACCGCCACCCTCGCCGTTGTTCTTGTTGGTTTCCCAAGTGCTGCGATCCGGGCGTCCGGAGAACCCTGAACCGCCCCTGCCGCCGCGTCCGTTGTTCTTCTTGAAGCCGCTGTCCTGAAAGGAGAGAAACGCCAAAGAGGGCGAACCACAAATTAGCAACGATTTGAAATGCATGTTCAAAATAAATCAGGAAAGTGCCACAAGTGATTTGAGTTTTCTACGCGGCCCATCTTGCTAATTTGTGTGTCCGCCTCTTCTCGGCCTCTCGGAAAACCCCACCCCATCTTCGCCTGCTCCCCAAACACACACACCCACACGCGGGACTCAAATCCATTGCGGCACTCACCTTAGCCTCGAAGGACATGTCCTGGACTCGGGAGTCCACCAGCACATCCTCGGTGCGAACCCGCCGGAAGGGTGACCGTCGGCCACTTCCCCCTCCGCTATTGTTCAACTGATTGTTTCGACTATAGTTGTTGTTGGGTGTGGAGGCGAATTCATTCTTCTGCGAATGGCAAATAAGTAAAATATGAACTTTCTGGACAGGATTCGGACAAGTGGTGGAACTCGCGGATTTGACTTCCTTTTAGAAGAATTTTTATTAGTTTTTCAATGATATTTCTGTTAATTAAAGAATGTACTTTAGTTTAAAAATCATGCTCTACGATCTTATGAACAGGAATATTTAATTATTAAGATAAGTCCGGAGGTCCGGACTGCAGATAACTATAACATAAAGGCCTGTAATAAAGCACCCCGACTCACCTGCTGATCTCCGGATTTGACAAAGTTGTTGTACTTCTTGTTGGGGGTAGCCTCGTCCTGGTCTCCACCACTTAACTTGCGCTTCTGACCGGCCTTCGGTCCGCCATTGGCCACGGCCTGGGGCTTGACCTCGCCGGACTCTTCGCCAGTGTCACTGTCGTCGCTGCTACTCTGCTCCTTCTTAGCGGGAACAGCTGTCTTCTTGACAGCTGGCTTCACCGCTGGCGTCTCATCGTCGCTAGAGTCCTCACTGCTCGAGGCGGCAGCCTTGGCCGGAGCCTTGGGAGCAGCCTTGGCCGGCTTTTCGTCCTCAGAGCTGTCGCTATCGTCCGACGAGTCCTCTGAATCGGCTTTCTTGGCGGGAGTAGCCTTTGCAGCAGGCTTGGCAGCCGGTTTCTTAGGAGCCTCCTCCTCGTCAGAGTCGCTGTCTTCACTTGATGTATCGGCCTTCTTGGCCGGTGTGGCCTTTGGTGCAGCAGCTACCTTCTTGGGTGCCTCGTCTTCCGAGGAACTGTCATCACTAGAGGAAGCAGCCTTCTTAGCTGGAGTCGCCTTGACCGGCGAGGCCTTTACCGGAGCCGCCTTCTTAGGTGCTTCGTCCTCTGAAGAACTGTCTTCACTGGAGCTGTCAGCCTTCTTGGCAGGAGCAGCCTTGACTGGAGCTGCCGCCTTCTTAGGTGCCTCGTCTTCCGAGGAGCTGTCCTCGCTAGAAGAAGCGGCCTTCTTGGCAGGGGCTGCCTTGGCCGGAGCCTTTGCTGCGGGCTTCTTATCGTCATCGGAGTCGCTGTCCTCGCTGCTGGAATCGGCTGGTTTGGCGGCAGGCTTAGCAGCAGGCTGGACTGCAGGCTTCTTAGCTGCAGGCTCGACATCGGAGTCGCTATCCTCGCTGGAAGACGCGGCTTTCTTGGCCGGTGCAGCCTTGGCTGCAGGCTTGGCGGCTGGTTTGGCCTCCTCCTCTGAGCTGCTGTCTTCGCTGCTGGAGGCGGCCTTCTTGGCAGGTGCAGCCTTAGCCGGTGTGGCCTTGGCGGCGGGCTTTGCCTCCTCCTCCTCGGAGCTGCTATCCTCACTGCTGGAGGCGGCCTTCTTGGTGGGAGTCGCCTTGGCCGGAGCTGGCTTGGCTGGTGTCGCCGCCTTCTTAGGTGCCTCTTCCTCCGAGGAGCTATCCTCGCTGGAGGAGTCTGCCTTCTTTGCGGCGGGAGCAGCCTTGGCCGGAGTGGCCTTTGCCGCCGGCTTCTCCTCCTCGGAATCGCTGTCTTCGCTGCTGGAAGAGGCTGCCTTCTTTGCGGCCTTGCCGTTTGTCAGTGGAGCTGCTGGCTGCTTGGGAGTCGCATCCGCCTCAGAGTCTGAGTCGCTGTCATCGCTACTGTCGGCCGCCGTCGCTTTGATGGCCGGGATCTTGGTGGTGCTCTTGGTCTGGTAGAACTGCAGAATCTCACTCAGCTTCGGCGTGTTCTTAGCTACGCTAGCCTGGGGGTTGGAAAGAGGAAAATGTTGTTTGGTTAGCAAGCACGTGGTCACGGAGGCGGATTGGTATAACAGGTGGGCGGGTCGAAAGGGATCCGATGGACCGATCGGGAGACCGGCATCCTGGTCCTGCTCTGCGCATGCAGATGGCCCCCGTTTTCGGTGCATCCGAATCGAACGCATTGCACTTGCCGCCTTGCATTGACACTCACCGCCTTCGTCTTCTGCTGGAAAACCTTGGCCAGGTTCTTGTCTTTCGACTGCAGGTACTCCAGAACGATCGCATCGCTTAACTTCAGCAGGTCCGTCATGATTGTTCAAACTATTTCTCTATATTTTAGGTCCGCACTTAATTCTTAGCCGCACGCTCGTCGCACACACACGTGTTTTCAGTTTTGATCGGTATGGCAGCTCGAACCGGCGGTCGCGGATCTGGCCACTCTGCTATTCGTGGCTTTGAAAGGTTTTGCAACACTTATGGCACAGTAAATATTCCTCTGAATCGACGTAGTCTAATAGTTTAAATCGTTTACATTTCGGACAATTTTTATGTTATAGAACACCTGATAGACTAATCAATATTCAACGATTCAGCAATTCAACAGCATGACGAATAAATCTGGGTATTCCCTAAACTATTGAATTGCTGAATTGTTGAATTTGAACAGCTGTTAATACAAGTCAACTGTCAGAATTTCAGCAATTCAACAGCCTCGGGGCTGTTGAAAATTTTGTTTAATTGCTGAAAACCAGAGTTATCGCTGGTTTAGAGTAAAGTAAGTGGGTAACTCTAGTCATTTGTAAACCTGGAGGAATTGCCATCGTATAAAATATGCAAGTAAAGGATATCTGATAGGATGCTGCCCGTTAGCAGTTCTAATAGTTTAGTTTTTTTGGCTTATTCTCGGCGTTTTCCTTAATCTTAAACAAAATCTTTGGTAAACACAGCCTGGCAATTTAACAATATGTCAAACAGCAGACATCTTAAAATTGAAAATTCAACAGGGAACTTTTAGGGTCGTTCCCTTAATTTCTGAAATTTTATGTTGAATTTTCAACAATTCAGCAATTCAACAGTTTAGGGAAACCCTGAATATTTAAGTAGGGAACAACGGTCGTGTGACCCTTAAACGGTTGGTTTAACGGTATATTTAAACGCTTCACCCACGGTCACACTGCGGGGGAGGGAGAAGGAGGTGTCGTATTTTTGTTTGTTATTCAATTGAGTTGCTTTTCCTAGAAGTATCCAGAGAACTGCCTGTAGACGTATAAATATATATCATATACTTTGATTCGAGCAAAACACAGAAGGCCTTTAGTCCGGTCAGGTAAAAAGGCCATGGCTGCCAAGCCGGTTCCCCAGATCCTGCGGCTGAACGACGACTGTCTGGACGAGATCTTCGACCGCCTGCAGGACCTCCCGACCGAAGTGTCCTTCGCGAAAACCTGCCAGCGACTGCAGCACATCTGCCTGGCCAAGTGGCGCACCAGCCGTGCGTACGAGCACCTCGATCTGGACAAGTGGCGGGAACTGCTTCCCAACTATGAAGATCTGGTCTACTTCCTCACCCAGATGCGACCGCACATTAGGGAGATGTCGGTCAGCAGTTGCCTGTGCGCCGTTTTAAAGGATCTGGATGAAATGCACATTGCGGAGCTGCCCCTGGTGGCCAGCTTCTACTACGATCCCGAGGACGTGGACTGCTATCCCTCGAACCGGAGCATCCGCAAACTGGCCCAGCTGCTGCCGGGACTGCGTAAGTTGCGCCTCACCACGCCCATCGATGGGCGGTACCTGTCCCACTTCCAGCAACTTCAGGAGTTGCATCTCTACGAAGATCAGCACAAGGCGTACGAGCTGCAGCAGGAGTACCTGGAGGAGGTGTGCCAGTAAGTAGGGATCCACAGGTGCTGGGTGTTTCGCAGCTCATTCTTCATTTGCTCCTCAGGAAGCTGCATGATCTGCGGGTTCTGGACATTCGGACGTATGACATGATCAGTAAACTTCAGCTGGGAAACTGCCTGCCGAGTCTCAGGAACCTCGTCGTTCTCAAGCTGAATCTGGCCACCTTAAAACCCATTCTGCCTGCCGTGTTAGAGCTGCCCTCCCTCAGAAAACTTGTGGTGCTGCTGGACAACGAGTGGCACATCCCACCGCTGGTCAGTCCGGACAGCTATGACCACAAGATCCGCGAGGTCAGCGAGTTCTACGAGATCATGGAGCGAATGGCAAAGGACATCGTGGGCTTTGCCGTGGACGGCTACTACATGCCCCTGGAACCGGGCTGGGATGAAAAGCTGCCCATTTGGACGCATCGCAGGCTGAGGCGCATGGCCATTTGCAGCTGGACCCACCCGGCAGACTACCTGGAGCGCTATACCTGTATGACAGACCTTCAGCTTCTCTGCCTCCGCAACTGGAACGACCTGAGCGACGATATTCTCATAAGATTCGTGGAACTCTGTCCAAGACTAGAACATCTTGACGTGTCCTACTGCCGAGATCTTACGCCGAACTTTTACAACGCGCCCTGAGTGTCCTTAAGCAGCGAGAACCTTACAAGCAGAAGCCAGGATTTGGACGGTCGCCCCCTTTGCAGCTCTACTATGAACTCAGTGGGTTCGAGGATTTTGTGGATAAAGCGGTAACTAACTACTAACTAATATTGCACCATGTCTGTCTAACTCATTTATCCACTGCAGAATCTTAAAAGCTCTCCGGAATATCGGGGGTATATTGTTTTCACAGCCGACTTTCCCGTTGACTCGGAACGGGGACTAAGCTTTGTGGACCGGGGCTACCAATTTGAATTTGACTGCCCTTAAAATACATATGTAAATATACAAACATATATACCTAAAATATTTATTATTAAAAATTATGTTGCACAAAAGAAAAAAATGGTTTGTTGTTCCCAATCCGCGAAATCCAATCCCCGCAGATTTTATTTACTTTAAGCTTTTTAAATTTTAAACGAAGATGTTGCCTGCTTTTTAGGGCCGACTTGATTAATGAATATATAACCGAGAACTCCACTTTTGAGGAAAGCGTCCTTGGACAATCTTTACCGATTGTGATTTGACAAGAAGAGATAAGAAATTGTTCATTAATATTACCCTTCTACGTGACGGTACAAAAATAAATATATGTTGAGAAATCGGACCATTTAGAGACATTTAGCTTTAAAATAGCTAGGCGACAGGAATACCCATAATAGCACGTTCACTGTGATTGGCAACCATAACATCTGTTTCGCTTTAACTAACAGGTATAATTCTAACTGAGAGGTTGTTCTGTGTTATTTGCTAGTTTACCAAAATGTAGTTAAAAAAAGCGAAAAACTAATACTTCTTGATATCTGCTACATTATTTGGTCTAAAGATTAAGTAAACTACTCAAGAATATTATTTTTAAAAACGTATCTGGATCTTTCCCAGAAACCAACGCTTGAGAGTATTCTCATAGTGGCTGAACAATAGTGGAAATGAATAGCCAAAGAAACAAATTTAAGCGTGGTCAAAATTTTAGCACGGAAGAAGAGTTTTTGCTCATCACTTTGGCGGCCGAGCAGAGAAATATTTTCGAAAATAAGAAAAATGATGGCGTGACTTGGAAAGAAAAGGAATTGGCCTGGGAAAATCTGGCGGTCATCTATGCGAGCAAGTCTGGGGTTCAGCGCAGTGCTCTTAGCCTACGATCCAAGTACGAGAGCTTGAAAAAGAAACTCGCAGCTGGGCTGCCGTACGGACAGCCTCCCAAAACACCGTCGGTTGCCGAAAAACTCCGACAAGTTCTTGGAGATGAGGACACTGGTGACGAAAACTCAGACAGCGACTGTAAGTATAGAGCGTTTATTGTATTTAAGGACATCCTTTAAACGATATATTTTGCAGGTATTATGAATGAACTGCAGACTGACGGATCACTTGGAGACATAATCGAGTTCAATGAGGAGAACTCCAGTGAAAATGTGACTTCCAAACCTAGAACTCCTATAGCCTTTGAGGCGAAACTGGTTGCCCCACCAACTGAAAGGACACAGCCCAAAAGAGATTTTGACAGTCAATTCAAGAGGAAAAATTACGTTTGATAAGGGCACAGCGTAGATTCTATGAACAAGAGAATGTACGAGCGCAGAAAAGCATCTGGAGGAAATGGAAACATTAAGTGCGAAACGCGAGTTGCTTTATTTAGAAATCGCTGAAAAGAAAAGGAAACTCAAGGTAAGGAATTAGCGTTTGCATAATTTAATCATTATTTTCTACCTTATTAGTATTACTACTTTACAGGACTCTCCGAAGGAATGACGCAGATTATTCTTAGTACACAGATTGTGCCAAACCTATGCTAATAGTTCATCACCTCTCAAAATATTTACTTATTAAATTGTTTCTATGAAGCCCATCGACGAAATGTACCTCTTCATCAAATTCCTCGTCATCCTCAAGCGAGTCGAAAGGGAATTCCTGGTCGATAGGGGCTGGAGGTAATGGGTCTTTCTCCTGGATGGCTATATTGTGCAGCACAGCACATGCAACGATTAGCACTTTCGCAGTATCAATATTGATTCGCATTCCGTAAGACAGCACCGGAAATCGTTGTTTCCAAACCTCAAAACATCTGGAAACGGTGTTGCAGGCTGGTATTTGGGACTCGTTATAAAGTTTTTCTGCCTCTGTTGTAGGATTTTTGATGGGCGTCATCATATATTTGCTTGATGCGTACCCTTTCCCAAAAGGAAGTTATTTTCGAATTCACCGGTTTCCCACCTGTGCTTCAATCGACTGTTGTCAAAATCGTGGTATTATGGGTTGATCCGGGCCATCTTACAACCACATCTTGGATAATCAACTGCGCACTCGAAACCGCCTGACATTGAGTGAGAAGTAGCCTTTTCGGTTGCGAAATTCTTCGTCTTGGTTTTGACCTGGGGATTTAATCCGAATATGTGTGCAGCCGACAGCACCCATCACATTGGGGAATTTGGATATTCTTTGGAAATCTTCTACGACTTCATCGGGGTCTCCAAACTTTATGTATTCTCTGGACAGTGCGGCTATGTTCAGAGAAACTTCCTTTACCGCTCGACACGCGGAGGATGTGCTCATCTTGTGCTCATCACCAACGGCCACTAAAAAATTTCCACAGGCATAGAATCGTAGTGCCAATAGCAGTTTTTCATCGGGACTCAGGGCATAGTTTCTGGAAAAATTAAATTAAATATAGTACTTTCAACGAAAAACACTCAATTACCTAGATGTTAGGTGCTCCATCTTCTTTCCTATTTTTTCCAAAAGTAGGGAGCAAGTAGACTTTGAAACTCGGAATTTAGACACAAACTCATCATCTTCCATATCCTCAAGAAAGTTGGGTCTGGTTTGGTAGACTCTAGGTTTCCGGGGCCTTACTGCTACTTCTTCATCAGAGTCTTCCAACGAATGAAGGTATATGGCGCGACTTAAATTCATTTTTAATAAATTTGTTTAGAAAACATTGACAGCTGTCTGCTCAAAATAGTATTTTTTGTGAATGGTTAATATGCTGACTGGTCAGCTGTTGCAAGAAAAAATAGGACCTTGCCATCTGGATATGTCCTAATTATTAATTTGTGTTTCCAATTTATGGTTTTAAAATTATGATTTTAAAATTACGTAATCGGAATTAAATAATCAAAATTGTACAATTTATTGATTGTAAAAATGTTTATTTTTTTTATTCAACGAAGATTCTGTTCCCATATAAAATATTAATCTGCTATTCATTGGGTGGAGTTCAATTTTGACTGTCCAAATATTGCTTTGATTACAGACACTATGTTTAATTTTTTTTTATTTTTGGTAAGCGACTCCATTAGCTAAATAAAAATCGCATTATACTATATTACAATTTAAAATATGACATTTTTATTGGCTCAATAGTAATTGAAAATAATATTCTTTATCATTTTAAACATTTATATGTATTAACATGTTCTCTGCCTATTCTTCTTCTGACCAAAAATATAAAAACTACTTTTTTCGAAGGTTGCATGGGACAGGTGAAGATCAAACGAAACAAAGTAACAATTTATTTAAAATACTTATTTTTAATCCTTAATTTGTTTCGCTCAAAATTTATAAATCGTGTGCTCTTAAAAATCGTAATAATCATTTATTAGATAAATATCAGATTTATTCCTCATGGATATGTATGAAAATAAATGAGAAAAACTGTTTATTTTTTACTAACACTGCAAGCTTCACTGTAAAATAATGAGAAAAACTGTTTTTTTTTCGCGTTGAACGACAGTTCCCCTTAGTTCTCAGCAATTTGTACTAACACTGCAAGCTTCACTGTAGCTGAAATGAGAGGTATTTTTCACTTCAAGGGTCACACTGCTCCAATGTTACACTCTTTCACATGTTTATATTTACAAATTTATTGTGCAATAAATTCTCCGGTAATTGAGTTGAGCTAGGGAAAACGATGAGTGAGGGTAAGCAACAGAGTCCGGGCGATGGCATCCGCTCCATGCGAAGCACCGGAGTCTTCCGTCTGATCAACTTTGAGCTGTACACGAAGCCGGTAGGGACATCTAAACTGGGATATTAACGACCCTTAGATTACTAATCCTCCATTCCATTCTCAGAACAAAATCATCATGGGCCTGGGACTAACCGCTTTTGCCGGGGTCTTCGGGTACATCGCCTACATGCGGTACAAGTACGAAAGTCTGGGATACTATGTGGCCGTCCAGGAAAACGGACAGGAGAAGTTCATCAAGAAGAAATCGAATTGGGAGCAGTAAATCCCTCACTCTGAACATTGGTCTTGGTGGAAACATCTTTATTTACTCAGTAGCACAATTTGGTACATAAATTTGTTGTTTGGGAGAGACTGCTTGTTTTGCCAAAAAATAGTTAAGAAATCACAATAGTAGAAAAATGTTTTTAACTAGAAACTTATCGCGGCAAATGGGGGCCACAAAGTGAGCGTAAAACAGCAGGAAGGGACGGACAGGAGGTGGAAATGGAGTGGAGCTGAGAAGAGGTGGTGTATCACAATCACAAGAGTAATTACTCCTCGCTTCCCTATCCTTCATCTCGCCGCCGTCGTCGTCATCGCTTTCATCGTCCTACTAGGCTGACAACTTGAGAGCCTTGAGCTCGTCCAGGTACAATGCTTCCATCTTAATCTTGTTTAATTGGTTCAGCTCTAGGTTCTCGCCCTGGCTGCGGCGCACCTTCAGCTTCTTGATGTCCGACAGCTTCTTGGCGACGCTGCGGATCTTGCGATCCTTCTCGCTGATGTTCTGCCCATTGGCCTGGCCCTGTCCCTGGGTATTTTCTGACTGATCGACGGCGTTGTTCTGCTGGTACTTTGGTCTGGGAGTGGGCTGCTGCCTCTGCTCCACTTTAGGCACCGAAACGGGAGACTGCCGAGCACCCAGATCACCTGGCTCAGCCACTTCGGCCGGGACAGAATCCGCATCGCTGCCGTTCACGTTTACATCCTTCCTAGCACTCCGCTGCTTGTTCTTGTTGTGTCTCTTGTTTCCATTGGCACCACCTGCAGGCGAAATAGAAATGCAAACAGCAATTAGCAAACACACAGCCGAGCCTACTTACGGCCGCGTCAGTCCCTAATCCTAATGGCATGTTAATACAGAATGTGTGGAGGGGTGAAAATAGCTGACAAGCTTCGTGAGTCTGTGAACCTAGTAGCGTTTGTGCTGGTAGGGACGATAGCGCCGGTTGTGGCGGCTGGTCGAGGACCCTGTAGTCGGCGGACCCTCGCGGCCATTGGCCCCCACCACCTGGCACAGGCCCTGCTCGCTCCGCCGCATGATCGGATTGTCCAGGTCGTATTGCCTGTGCCAAAACTTCCGCGTCGTATTACCTGCTGCTGCTGCCGGGGCCATTCCGGGAATACTCGGCTGGGGCAGATACTTCTCCGGATTCTTGCCTTCCTTTAACAGCCGCAGATGGGGCGGTGTGTAGGCCTTCTTGCTGGCCTCGGGTTGGCTGGATTTAATGCCCTCGTGCTTTGCCTTGGTGATCTTTGGCTCGCTGAACGTCTTGTCAGCGAACTGCTGCCACTCGATGCCCAGCAGCTCCTGGCCCTGCGGCCACATGGTCTCGTGGAGCAGGGCTCCCGAGTAGTGGTACACCTTGAACCTGCAGTACGTTTATGTTAATGTAACGATGTGAACAAAGTCTAATCCACTTACCCGTTGCTGATGCGTAGCCTGGGCGCCGTGGTGGCCGTAATAAACCACTCCCCGTTCGGATGCCACTCGAAGACCGTGGTGTCGGCGCACTTGAGGTTTGCCAGTTTTTCACGTTTGGACACATCCCACACCTCGACGGCTCCGGGCAAATTGCCGAAGCCAGCGAGCACTATGAGGTTGCCGAACGGATTGAAGTACGCGCAATTGCGCGGCCCCTCGCCAAAGTCGAAGACCACATCGCATTTGAGATTGTAGAGGGCCGCCTTCGAGGGCATGAACCCGTAGACGACCACAAACTCAGTTGCCTTGGGACTCCACTTTACGCAGTGCACCGGACCCTCCTTGGAAAGGGGCACTGAGCAGGTGTCGCCCTTCGTGGCCATGAAGTGCACCGCCTGGTTGCCGTAGTACGAGGCACCGCTCTTGTCCACCTCCGTGCTGGTCAGAAGCAGCAATCCACTGCCCCGCTTGTTCCACAGCATTTCGACGCGGTCCGCTTGGAAGAAGCTTTTGCAGGCAACGGTCTGGTTCTGGCCCAGTGCTGGGTACTTGTAAAGCTTGCACATGGAAGGAGCGCCCTTGGCGCCTGGCGTGTAGAAAGCCAAGAAGGGGGGACAGTTTCCGGGGCCCAGCGACAGCATTCCGCCGCGACTTCCTCCGATTTTGCGCGACGTGGAGGCAAATCCCTTGTCTGCTCCCTCGCCGAGGTCATAGAAGAGCGCCTCGCCTCCAACGACCAGGGCGAAGATGGACTCGTCCGCCGACCAGGAGGGTTGCCAGTCTGTCTGGTTCTTCTGGACGATGGCGAACACCTCGGCGCCGGTGGCCACCTCGTAGACGAGCAGGTTGGGCGAGCCCTCCGGCCGGTCCTTGGTGATGGCATAGTGCTCCCAGGTGCACAGGTAGCTGCCACGTGGCGAGAACTGGAGGTAGAAGGCCTTGGGCCTGGGCAGGACGCACTTGACTGGCCAGCTGGCGGCGCTGTCCTGGCTCACCTGGAGCACCTTGACCTCCTGGCCATTGGAGAAGGCGAAGTACCGGCCGTCGGAGCTGAAGCAGATCGAGCGGGAGCTCTTCGTCTCCTCGCGGGGCAGGTGGGGCTTGTGCTCGTAGGGCTGCTTGGGGCCCGCCGTGGACCACAATTCCACGCCCACGCTAGAGCGAACTGTGGAGGAGATTAGCAGAAGTGGCCCCGATTAGCAGGTGGAAACACGAGGTCAAGGGGTTCTGGATTTTTCCGCCAGCGCGCCCAGGGAAAGACTGCTTTTGATGCCCCACGGACTCAGCAACATCCTGGAGATCAGCTGGTTAGGATTGCACCCGGAATATACTCACTGGCAAGGGTAGGAACAACCAGATCCGCAGCTGCAGCCATTGTCTTCCAATCTCACACGCACACACACAGAGCTACAGAGCTACACGCACGTCGATGTTGTTGTTGTCTCTGCTGCAGTCAGTGTTGGTCAACGGATTTGTGGTCACACACGGTTGCCGTGTACGCGGTGTATCGATGAACGATAGTCAACATGCATTGGCGCCACAACGACAGGTTTAACAAACCGAACCGAACGTTTAGAACTGCAACAAAATGTCTGCTCCACGTGAATTTAAAAACATTTTAGTACTAACAATTTCGGAACTAAAACGTCAGGGATGTGAATGGTCCAATCGAAGGTGTGTTGATTTATAATACTTTCCGTACTAGACCTTCATTTTTTAAAGTTAAAAAGGAGATTTCGGGCGTTGAGTTAATTTTATGGTTGTTGAATGGCTTAAATCTTTGAAAAACAGTTTAGCAATTGTTTTAGAGAGGTTAGAGACTCGACTTGTCCAGACTGTCAAGACAAGACTCGAGATCTGCCTTATAGGCTCTTCCCACAGAGTCCATCACTATGAAACATAACTTTCGTAAGATGTATTATTCCTGCTCTTGTTTTATAAAATAGCATAGGACAATAGTTTAAAACCATCCCGAACTTTAAAAGCCACATTCTTCGCTGGAAATTTCTGCGGGACGGTCGACCCCTGCTCCACCCTGGTTTCAAAAGATTGTCACGTAGTGAAGGACACGTTTCGAATCCTAAAAAGTATGTATATTCTTGATCAGGATCACTAGGAGCCGATATAGCCATGTCCGTCTGTCAGTCCATTTTAATGCTGTTTGCGAGCTCAGCTTAAGAGCTAGCAATCCGAAAATTACTTTAATAAATCGGTCCAGTCCCATCCGTTTATGTTCAAGGTAAAGGTATGTCTAGTGATCATATGAAATTTATGTTGTCCATAACCAAAAACTGGTAAAAACAAATACAATTTCAACACAGATTTACATTCTTTATTCAACGAATACCTTTAGTAATGAAACTAAGCCTATAAAAGAGCAATTTAAAACTAACCAACGGACTTGGCAACTAATTATGCGAAAATACTTAAGCTATTCTACCGATATACTCCCTAAAGCAGCTTAAACCATCGAAAAATAGACATTAGTTCACAAGCTATTTAGACTCAAGTTCAAGATTTGAAAATGTGAATAACGTACACTTTTTTCGCGTATTAAATAAATAAGAATTTAATTACATTAGGAATTCTTTAAAAACTGCAACATCACAAACTCATAAGCTACTTTTCTTTAATAATGACGGTCCTACTCTAAGTGAGCGGCGTATGGTAGCAGCAAATAGGGAAATTGTAAACATTTAACTAATAGATCACACGAGTTTCTGCCTTCAGGTAAGCTGAGCTTTCGTTTCCCTTCTCTTCAGCGGTAGAGCCGCACCTGCTGCTTAAGCTCCTGATCGCTGATGCGATCCTGGAGATTCAGTTCCGCCTCCTGTCTGCGGAGAAGGTCGAAGATGGCCGCCAGCTGCTCCCGCTCGATTCGACGCTCCTCCTCGATCTGGCCTGGAGTCAGGGCCTTCTCCATCTTGTGCTGGAGCCGCTTGGCCTTGAGCTGGCCCATCAGGTGGTTGTAGTTGTGGCGGGAAGCTGTTCCTCGATGAACTCCACTTCGCTTTCGGTGGAGTTCTCCTCGTAGGCCTCGTCGTCGTCGGTTTCCTCGCCCTGAGGAGTCCGCGACTCCGAATCCTCCTCATCGCGCGGCTCGTCGGCTCCCAGTCCCTCATCCTCCAGTTCCTGCAAGTTGGAAAGCCAAAATATTCCAAGAAAAGCCACTTGTTTAGGCAACACCCACGGTTTTGTCCTTGAAGAATTTGCGAAGTAGAGTGCGATCAAAACGCACAGGAGCAGGGTGATCAGGGCCACCGAATAGTGACCCGGTAATCCAAGGAAGAGGACATCCAGTGAAGGAAGTATAGCCTGCATTCTGTGTTTTCTTTTGTTATTTGTTGTGTTTAACTTCTCTATTTTTGTTTTCCTTCTGGCGCAGTGTGACCGCAGACTGCAAGCGAAATAATCCCAATTGGCGCTGAGATTTTCTTAAATCATTAAATTTAAAGTTTTTTATGTATTTAATTAGGGTCGTTACATTTTTTGACTTATGTTCATAAATATTGTACGTAATAAATGTATCCCAGTTGTTGTTTCACTTTTATATGCTTATCCATCCTATACATAAGTAGCTGCAATTGCTGAGACTATCAGAAGACAATTTGATTCTCTGAAAAGGTTAAGGAAAAGTTCTCCTTCTTCTGTAAACAGGTCGCCTTTAAATAAAATATAATCCAAAACTAGTCAGGGACAGCTGACATAAATTTTAAATAAATTAAATAAACCGTGATACTTTAATATCATGAAATCCATATAATATAACAGCTTCAATCACGATAGTAAATATTTATAAAACTATTGGCTTATATTCATTGCAGATGTATCCGAACTCACATCGGCAATGTGGAACGAGGCATCTTCGGCAGGCATGTCATCCTCATCGGTGTACAATCGACGCAAACGCTCCTTATACCTAATAAAAATATGAATGCTATTAGAATCTGGAGACCTTATATGATTAATTTATCTCACAGTTCGCTATCCGGATTGTTTGCCTGATTGCGGCACTTATCCAGCTTCTTTTCAATGGCCTTAACCTTGTCCCGATCAGGTTGCTGATATTGCTTTACCATAATACGGATTTCTGTCAGGAAAAGCAAAAGATGTATTTAGGAGGAGCCCTGTTTTATAAGATGATCTTACTTCTCACGGCATCGATGAGGCCGGGCAACTTATCTCTGGCGGAAACGAATAGAAGATCCGTCACATAGCTATCAAGATTCTCCTGTTCCCTGCTGGCAGCGTGAAGAACGGCAGCCAATGCAATCTGCGAGGGTGTGTGCAGAAGACAGGCATCCGTGTAGAAAGTGGAGTCAATGAAGCTATCAATGTGTGGGCGCAACCGCTCAGGATTTTGCATATTGCTCCGGGTCTGAAATAAACCAAAAGGTAGATATTGATGATCTCAATTTCAATTCAACTCACTTTTATATCTATTAGGAACCCTTCGATCGGTCTGAATGGATTGTGTATGGTGAGGTAATAGTTGAGCTGACCAATCAGGAGTAGTTCATTTGACAGCACTATGTCCGTGGCCTTGTTCCTATCGCCCTTGATGTTGTTGACGAATTGGTTGATAGATACGTTGAACTCCTCCACTTTGCAGGCGACAAACACACATGTGGCTCTGAAAAGATCTTGGGCTTAATACTAATACATTTACATTTCTGTTTTGGTTTTCAGATTAGGCTAGGTGCTTTAAAAACTGCTGGCTTTTAAAGAACCCAATAAGGTGATTATAATCTCTTATAGTACATTTTTGTATACTTTTGTTAAGTTTATGAAATTGAAAGAGGGTCGATCCGATAGATTATTCAAACTGTGTGTGTGTATCAAAAGTACTGAAAACCGAAACACTGGAAGTAAAAAGGAATTATTACAGAATCTCCTTGGGATGATAGTCCATGGCGTGTTGTTCAGGTAGAATCGTTTGAAGTAGTGGAAGGCCGTGCCCACCACGCACTTGGGCATCGGAGGATCGAAGCGACGGCAGAAGTCGAAGAGGTAAATCTCGTACTGCTTCAGCAACAGGCGCTCCTCCGTCGGGGTGAGGAAGTGCTCCTCGAGGTCGCGGCCCTGTGCCTCCTCCTCATGGCTCTCGATGTACTTGTTGTTCTGCTCCACGCGGAAGTCCATCAGCTGACCCTCGTTGGCGAATGTCCAGGACCTCTTCTGTGAGCTCACGGGATACATTTTGCATATTATTCGGCAATTTGTAAATTAAAAACAACTCCAACGCCGCAAACTTTCAGAAAGCCGGCATAGTGTGACCAATCGCAGTACGAGGAAATAACTCCACAGAGCGTATATGTTCGTTAAACTGCTTGAAAATATTGCGGGGATTCGTGTATTGAGAACAATCGACACGTCTGGTAAAACTTTTTTTTTATAATCGTTGTTAAAAAACGAATAATGAAGGCGAAAAGATCTCTAATCCTTTCTAAATTTTTAGGATGCCTGCAAGTGTATTAGGTCAAGTGCATAATTATTTTTCGTCACTATCCAAACGTCTGTATGTTGTAGGTGTGACCGTCACTAGTTCGTTTACCTCGTTAAGAGGTTTTCTTGTATCAGAATTTGTGATTTAAACATTCATGTAATTTGTCTACTTTTTACATTAGTTGCTAGTAGTGGTAAATGTTAGTTATTTAGTGGAAACAATACATTAATAAGTTTTTACTTTCGGACTACATTCTCGGTTCTTAAAAGCATAGAACTAAAGAAATAAACTTAAGCAATTGAACACAAACTTAATGATATCAAAATAGATAGAGACAGCCACACAACAAATAGATTGGTAAAATTAACCAACCATAACCATAATAGTAAAGCGGTCCCCAACCATCGAATCGTCAATTTTAAAAACCTTTTAAAAAGGGTAGAATGGACCCAGCCCATGGATTGTAGTTAAATAATTATTTATAAAGTTATACAACCTAAAAAACAAAATAAAGTGCAATAACACTGCGTTGAAGTATAAATGCCCCACGCTGTTAGTCTAGTTTTTTTTTACTGAAAACACGCGTCGGTTTACACCTCATTTGTAAAAATCCACTGCTCAGTTCAAAAGTTATTCTAAAACAAGATTTTAAGTGACTTTCCAAAGTAAAAACTTGTTTCCCTTTGCTTGTGTGTTTTGTATGAATCCCTATTTGTTTTTTGGGGATCTAGTAAGATAGAAAACTTTTTTTAGATACGACTTTGAAAACACCCGCAGTTTGTCGGGAAATACATTAAAAAAAAAACAGCTAGATTTTTAAGGCTTTTAGTTTCTAAACAACAAATGCTACTGATACGTGTCAAAGGGCGCTGAAGGTAATTCAATTTCTATTCATGCTTCCTTTGCATAAATTGTCTAAAAATAATATATTTAATGTTAAAGCTAAAAGTTTTTAATTTTAACCACTTTTGGCTATTTTCAGAAATCGTGTCAAACATTTTCTTTTTAATTTTAAACTATATAGGCCTTGAGATTCCTCAACTTTTGATATATAATACTTTTTTCCATAAACATTACTGTTTGGAAGGTTGTTATGTGCTAAACGACAAAAGAATACAGAAATTACGAATTTAACAAAGCTGTTTACATTAAGACAGATAACGATAGGCACAAAATCGATACACGACTATCGACGACTCGTGAGTTCAGGGAGTCGTGCAGCTGAGTAAATCATGGAACTGGTTCCTTAAACCGGATAAGTCCCAAATGAACCGAAGTTTAAAGCCGAAACATTTGAGTGGTTTTTGGCGAGGAGAGGCTTGGAAAAGTGAAACAAGCAAGGGTAATTAAAGGGCGAAAATAAGTGGTTACAGACGGTACTGTTGGCAAGAAAAATATTATTAAAAGAAGTCAAGTTCCTACCCAGTGAGTGATAAAACCAATACTTCTTGATGTGAGTGGAGTTAAAATTTAAATATTTATAGAATATTCCGTGAGGGATAAGCCTGGATCAGGAAGATAGATTTATATAAGGAGAGACGAAGACCAGCCACCAGGAGTAGATCAAAATTTTCAGCAAGAAAATTGGCCACTCAACCCGGGTGGCACCAGGTTTTTATTCGCCCTTAAAATTATATTTGCCAAAGAAAATTAAAAAGTTGTTCCCGCTAAAAAAGTCAGCAAGCCGAAAATTAAAACAAAAACGAGACTGATAATATATTTGATTATGTAACCCACCCAAACTAATTCCATATATTCTTATTTTTTTTTTTTTTTTTTTTTTTTTTTTTTTTTTTTTTTATATTTTCCATGGAAAAGTTCGGTACCGTAGGTAGGATTATTAAATGTTAGAATTTAAGAGAAAGTTTTGAATTATAATGTGAAAACGAAATGAATTCGTTTGAATATAAATTCGTGTTGGGGGGTGAGATGGTGTAGGCGAGGTAGCACGACCCACAAGGCAGGATTGGGAGATGTGTCCAGATGTGAAGGATGCACTCATGGTTGGGAGGACCAGGACCACGATAAGAGCTGTGTGGTCCAGTCCACATGTTCAAAAAAACCGTCGTTAAAAAGAAAAACATTTAGAAGTTTGTAATAAAAGTTTAAAGACTACAAATTTTTTGTAATAAATAAATTATTAAAACTAAAAAAATGTTGTTGGTTTAATTAATACGTTAATCAAATCGATTTGGCCTTGCTAACGGAAATATTTTTATTGATTTTAACGCTATTACAACAGCTCATATGAGTTCCTACTACAGCAAAAGCGAATAGAACTCCCATTTTATAATTGATTCTTAAAACAAAAACGTCTGATATCAATCAAAAACACATCTTAACGAGGTAAGGGGTCGTGACGATCGCACCTTTAACATACAAAAGATCTGATATAAAATTTTGTGAAATAACTTTTTGTACATTCGATTAAATAAATTCACTTTCTAAAATTTTTCGTTCGGCACGCTGTAACAGAAAATTCCTTTGAATATGAGAAGCTTGAATGAAAACATTTTAGAAAGTGTAAGTATTTATTTAATCGAATGTTCAACCATTTTTCTTCCTTACCTTTTTGAGTTTTGCTTGGGAGACATGTACGTTACACCTACAAGACGCTAGACCCAGCTGGGATATATAAGCAACACATGAGAGAAAATGTGTAAAGTTTTTGTTGCATACTTCTGTGGGAAAGATTTTACGTCAGGATTTTATTTATAATAGTAAAGTAAAATTTGTTATAGCTACTAAACTATCTGCATTGGTTTTACTGTTTGTTGATTACTAATTTTTACAACCATGTGTTCTACATAAGACAAAATTTGACAGATTACGTTAGGAATGAGTAACTAGGATTTTATTATACCTTTTTAACGACTTATATCACATTTATTTTTTGCTGTTTAGTTTTTATAAATGTTTTTAAAGACAGTTTGAAGTTTTTTCTTATTGTAAACTACTTAGGGGGAATGTTCACCAGCGGTTCCCTGTGATGTACCTTTTTAGAGACCGAACGTACATACCCAATGTCACGTGTTGCCATGGGGAAGGGGTTTAGCAGGGAGCTGGTATAAATTGAAATTCCCTCTCCTGGCAATCACCATCAACCCCTTCCAATCTTTTGTCATCGTGTGTTTCGCAACTAGACCGCTGGACGATTACCATTAAGATTAAGGTTGTGTGTGTAACAATAAAAGCAAATGTTTTGATGCATACTCTTAGGCTTTTTAGCAAAGAAGGAGGAAGTTCGACATCCGATTCACAACAAAGCTGTATTCATGGGTCCAGTTTACAGCTGTTCGTTTGTTGGTCTCATTTTGGGACGCACGTGTTATGCATTTATTAACGTTTAAGGTGCCTGCAGCATCAGTCGACTCAAAATTGAATTAATATTGTTTTGCCTTTGTTTTTATTGTATTGGGCTGCAAAATTGGGTCACTTGGATCTCTAGACGGAAAAAACACGTGAACAAAAAGTAAAGACTTTAAGCTGCAATTGATTTACCCTCTCCAATTTTAAATATAAATATTTTTTGTAAGACATTTAAGCGTAGTATATCGTATATCTTTTATTTTTTCTTAAACTTTCTTGTTTATGTTTTAAGTTCCATTAAATGGTGTGGTATCCCCCATGTCCTAAAGAGCATTCAAGAGCCATGCGTACTCAGTACTTTGTATGCAGGAGCTGCCTTCTGTGGCAATAAAATTGCAATTAATTTTTATTGACAACTCTGAACTCTTGTTGCAGCGTTTTGCTGTTGATCTTTCAGCGATTTCACTGCGGCAAGGTGATCGGAGGTTTTGGTGTCGGACTTCAGTGCTCTTAAACGGAACGGACAGAGCAGCTTTATTTGGGGATTAGATATAAAATTGTACATTAAATTTAAGGAAATTTTAGGTAGATATACATCTTATTATTTTTGTTTTCTTATAATTACACTCGTTAGTCAGAGAGTAAACCACAATATTTTATTCAAATATCAAAATATTGTTTCTGAAATTACGCTGTTCCGCTTAACTGGTCATAAATATAAGTGGATATTATAATATCTTGAGTCGAAAGTCACTTACTTATTGATAGTCCATAAAATCGGGAAAAAATAGTTCACAAAACCGTATCATTGATTTTAAATGTAAGCTTAATGTTAAATTCTCATAATCTTGGCTTGGTTCTACATTCTCTCGTCTTGAAAATCAAATGGAAACTACATTTGGTACGTTTATTTTGCATTTAAGAACATTTCTTCTCGAATAAATGAACAGACGAATTCACAAGTTCTTTAAATTTGCTTTATAATTTCAATTGAAAAATTTCTTATGCGAAATTTATTTAAAGAAAGTAAAACTTAAGCTTTAAACTGATAAGAGATCATTTTTATTTGAAATACTGTGTGGGACTCACAGTAGTTATCGGTTATGATTAGGTATTTTGAAAATAAGTGCATCTCCGTAGTTCATCAAATATGAAAATGCAAGCCACTGTTTAACCTACACACAAAAACCGTCTTAGTTTTGGGGCCAATTCCCTCTTAAGGAGCTAACTGGCTCAGAAAGACGACGCCTTCGATTGTTCAATCTTGGGACTGAAAAGTTTATGCGCGTGCGCGACACACAGGCAAAATGACACAGAGGCAGACGGACGGAGATGAGATGGATTGCCGTCGGCGGGACTGACTGACTGACAGTCGGTTGGCCTCAGCTTATCGTCAGTTTCTAGTTACGGATACAAAAAGAAGCTCGGCTCTGGGCGTACTTAAAATTCAATTGAATCTTGAATTATTGCATTGAATTTCATTGTTTGTAAATGCTCGCCCGCTGTGTCTGTATCGGATTGTAAACTGATTT